GCACGTGTGAAGCCAGGTCGTCTGCGAGGGAGCAGACGGGGGCATGTTAGCTGGTTAAAACAGAAACAGACATCCAACTGCAGGAGGCCGCTTCATGTGCGTTAACGTCGTGGAACATTTTCACCTAAAATCAAAGCCAGGCATAAAGTTATGAAAAACTCACACATAAAAGTCAAATCGAATTCTTATGACGTTTCTGAGGATTTTTACTCAAAACAAAACTTTTTTTTTTTTTTTTTTTTTTTTTTTTTTAGCAGCTGAACAAGAGGTTCAGCCAAGAGCAACCGAAAGAAGAGATGTCTGAAAAATGTTTGGTCCAGTCGTTAAGTTTAAAAAAATCTACAATGACTTCAGTTGTCTGACGGGTTTTATGTTCTGCTCTCCTATCATGTTTTCACGCGTCCTGATGTCAGACGAACAAAATAGTTTTAGCTGGTAAAACGAGCTCCACTCTGCAGCAGAAAAAATAGCCGTGGTTGGATATTTTCTCCAGCCTGAGTGGCAACAGTTGTCCCACTGAAACGGTTCACCCACTCACCGGATCTTCTTTTTCAGTCCCTACAGCTTCGCTCCAAATCTTCTCAACCAAGTTGGTGAGAACTTCTTGACGTGTGTTGCATCATTCGGTCACGTTTCTGAACTCTGTGAATGCTGACTCAGCGTTTTTGTTTGCTCGTTTTTGTTCCATATTTTCCTAACAGAGCACTTCGCTCTCAGACTGCAGGTTTACTTGGAGGTTTCTAGAGTTTCCAAAAGCAGAATGGGAGGCAGAGCTTTCAGTTATCAGGCTCCTCTCTTGTGGAACCAACTTCCAGTTTCTGTCCGTGAGGCTGACACATTGTCCAGTTTTAAGACTGGGCTTAACGCTTTCCTTTTTGCTAAATTCTATAGTTAGGGTTGGCTTGGGTTTCCTGAGCTGTCCCTTAGTTATGCTGCTATAGGCTTAGACTGCTGGAGGACAAACTGACCACATTTCTTCACTCTGCTACTGTCTGTACTTACTCTGCTCAACCTGTTTTGTATTTGTAATTATTTTTTTCTATCCTTAACATGTGTTTTTGTCTTTTAGGTACACCTGGACCAACATCTGGACCTGCCATCCTGTGTTCTTCTGTCTCTCCTTCCTGTTCCTCTCAAACCAGCCGGTCAAAGCAGATGGCCGCTTGTCCTGAACCTGGTTCTGCTGGAGGTTTCTTCCTGTTAAAAGGGAGTTTTTCTTTCCACTGTTGCCACTGTGCTTGCTCAGGATGGGAGACTGTGATGAAGTGAAGATTCAATGTGTCTGCTGCTTCCTTAGACAGAGAACTTTACTAATTGGCTCTTTTATATACGTATGTGAATGTTTCTGTTCAGTGCCCTGAGACAACTTTGTTGTGAATTGGTGTTATATAAATAAAATGAATTGAATTGCTGTAGTTAGTTTTTGCAATCCAACTAGTTTAGCATACTTTGGTTATTTTTAGTCACCACTCATGTATCAAAAAATTTAGATAATTAAGAGATAAATGCTGTATTTTGTAGCATATACTTTCTAACATATTTAACTTTATTTACAAACATTTTCACCAGAAACACAATGTGATCTCTTCGATTTCTTCAAAAACATTGTTCTTTTTTAAATTTGCGCCATTTTGCTCTATTTTTGTCTTCTGATGCTACTTTTAGTGTTTAGCCATTTTTTTGTTCCTTTTAGCTTTTAGCTACCGTTCTGCTATTTTAAAATTTTAGCTAGCCTTTCGATACTTTAGCTTCTAGCTTGTCTTTGCTGCTTTTAGCTTTAACTAACCTTTATGTACTTGTATTATAAGCTAGCCTTTTTGCATGTTTCGCTTTAAGCTTTTGCTACTTTAACCTAGCCTTGTAAGTTTTAGCTTACATTGTGCTGCTTTCAGCTAGCACTTTACCACTTTTAGCAAGTCTCTTGCTACTGTTAGCTTCTAGCTACGTTCTATGTATCTGTTAGCTAAAATTCTGCTTTTTTAGTTGTTATTTTTAATTTTTTGTGTTTTGAACCCTAAAAGCTTTTAGTTAGTGTTTTGCTTCTTTTAGCTTTAACAGTTTTTTTTCAGCTTCTTCAGCTAATTTTAGCAAAGGCGTTCATCCTTCAGGTTCAGCTTCTCTGCAGGAGCAATAAATTGCTCAGGTAAATAAACTAATCATCTGAGCCTCTAACGTGGAACGACTTTCACTTCATCTGATTAGAACAGAACAACTGCCATCTTGTAGAGCTCAGAGTGTGTGATGGGGATGACTCTCAGTTATAATCATGACAAGTTTTATGTTAGTATATGTACAAGTGACAGAGTTATAGCCACGCACACACACCTTTCATGGTGGAGGGCAATAGAAAGATAATCTACTCACAACACAACAAACTAAGCAATCACAATCTATGCTGACCCACCCAACACAACATTTAGTTTAATCAACCTGCAGATGAAATGTTTGATAGGCATTTCTCAGAATATATATGAACAGTTACACATTGATTGTTCTGATTCTGCTTGTCCTAAATAACCAGGGGCTGTGGTGGCTCACTGGTCAACACCACTGAGGCTGCAGGTTTGAGCCCATGTAGGAAGAGGATCCAGAGCAAGTCCGCTCACTGACGGAGGGAGCAGACGAAAGGAAAAACTCAACTTATTCTAAAAAAAAAATCATTCAAAAAGATGCAAACACAAAAACAAGTTTTATATAAAGTCACAAAATGACATGCGTGTCTGCAGCTTTCTACTGAAGTAACAGCACTCCAAGTCTCTTATTTACCGGTAACAGTACACAGGTAAATATACTCCAGCTTAGCCACCTGCAGATATGCACGACTGCATTTCCTGTTCAGGTAAAGCCATAGTTTCTGCCGTATTTCTACTTTAAACACAATCACAAGAGTTTCTTTGTAGGTTAATACCACTGAATTTCTCAGCTGGAGACAGACCTTGTTGGTATATTTGCCAGAATAATAAGGGTTTAAACAACTTTTCAAGGATTCAAGGTTCTTATTTGTCATATACTAAGAAAGACCGAATAATGTTTGTGCTGCAGTGACAACGGAGTCTAAACATCTCCAACCCTGCATGCTGTCCTGAATGTTTATCTAACCCATAATTTAACTTATATAAACCGTAAACCTGGAATCAGGACGACACCTAAGCCCCAAATGACAAAAGGAGACATGTTAAAAGTCTGTACTATTAATGGTGTTAATGCAAGATTCATTAATGTGGTCTTAGCTGAATGAAGCCGTTGTTTTGTACTAAAAACAGACAATGAATTTTGTGTTATGACATATTTCTGGTGTGTTACTATTTTATTTCATATACAAAAAAATGTATGGAATTCATGTGCAATCTATGCTTTATATCCATTTGCATGTGTGATTATTTAAATATGTTGTTAAAATTAATATGTGTAAATACTAAGTATGCATCTTGCAGTGAGGTGCAGGTCATTTTCGGAGACAATTTAAACATAAGCAGTACGCTGATGTTCCCCGTCGCTGAGGGATTGAAATAGTGATGGTTTGTAGTTGTCGAGGTGTTTTTTTTAGACTGTAATTCAACAGGAAACCTTAATGTTTTTGGTGCAAGATAATCAAGTGGGTCAATGTTACACTGTGTATAAAAATAGTAGTTTTTTGCTTGTCCAAGGCAGCGCAGCTTGATGGATCCTGGTGAGTGGAGGGAGTCGTTTTACCATGAGCAGACACAATGGCGGAGCCAGGGGGTGTTTATGGTGGTGGCCATCTTGGATTTTGACATGGCAACCCCCGTTTTGATAGTGATCTTACTTATGCCTATATGCATCCACACACTAAAATGGAAGTTGGCACTTTGCTTATTTTTAAAGTTATCCATCTCATAAGGTTTGGTGACAGCCATCTTGGATTTTGAATTAACAACCCAGTTTTTTTGAAAAGAACATTTCTTACGCCTAGACGTAGACACAAATTAAACAGGAAGTCAGTATCTCACTTGTTTCTCAAGTCAGGCTCACAACATGCACGGACAAACGGATGAACGGAGGATATTTCCAATTCCCCCTCACGTGGACAAAAATGACCACATGTATTCACAGAGCTGCAATACATCTTGTTTTCTATGATGCTATTAATTCTGTTTTAGTTCCTTTTCAGAAAACAAAACATTTTACAACATTGAAACAGATTTCAAACTGGATTATCAGATTTTTGCAGCAGGGAATCGGAAAACAGAGGTTTGAACATCCGGGCGGGTCTTTATATTCAGGTTGGAGCAGCAAATACAATCTGATCCTTTAATTTCTTTAATGCAGATCAACACTCTCTTTTCTTGTGAACACAACATTTTGCAACTTGCCATCTGAGACAGCAGCAGCAGCTTCTTTCCCTCCATCGTGCATTATCAGAGAGTAGGGGGATGTAAGAGGGGCACTGGCCTGAGAGGCTGCCACTTCTGCCAGAAGCCATACTGTGTTTAATACATGTGTGAATTAAAGATGGATGAGGGCCTTAAAGCGCGCTGCTACTTAGAGATGCTCAACGAGAAGCTGTGGAGCGTTCAGAATAAAGAAGCTCGGTGTAGAGTCACACGGAGGGCTGCATCTCTCTCGCTTTGACGGAACAGACGCAATCAGAGAACTAAAGCTCATCAGCAAGATCGGAGCCCAAACGTTCCACTAGTCAGCTTTATTTAAACGTAACAACAAAACGCTCTTTTGTGCGCAGTTAAATCAAATGACTCATGCACACAGCAACTAATCCTAACCTCAATTCTGCTTCTATACAGCAGTTTGTTCAAGGCAGATTAAAGATTACAGATTAGTATTTTAGCTCTGATTAAAACACAGAAGGGAAAGATTTGTCCATCTGCGCTCCTGAAATATTATAGTTATTCTTTTAGCACAATAATATCAAACCTAGTTTACACAATGTGACTTTCCGTTTACTTGACATTTTACTTCATTAATCTTTGACATTTACAGGCGGAGCTCATACGCAGTCGGTCAGACGCGGCGGCACAAACCTGGCAGCGATGTGGCTGTAAAACAGTCCTGAGTCGCTGACACTCTGAGGAAGGCAGTAACGCAGCGCCTGCATCCGATGTATGTCCATTTTGGTAAACGGTCTGAAACAAATACTCCCTTCAGTTCAGGTCCGACCGCTTCAAACTGTAATCCACGAAGAGCCGGGTTTACCCTGCTCCTGAAGAAACGCAACAAATCACCAACGTTCGGGTCAACCGATTAATAAAAACATTTCAAATCCAAAAGAAGATGGAAAAACATCACTTAGTTCTGACTTCTTGCACCGCTGCGTCCACAGTGAGACAAATAATCCATCCTTTCAGCAACAAAGAGATGACTGGCAGACGGGCAGAGATGAAGTCATTGACCGGCCAGTTGTTGGACTGGATCACAGAGGAGTGAGGGGGGGCGGTGTCTGACACTGAACCTTAGAGCTATTGTCATATTGTTAGCCCAGGGGGAGATTACCTCATATCCCTTAGAGCCGCCCCCCCCCAACAATCCACACGTGGTGTTATTTCTGACCACTTTGTTGTGTCCTGCTGCTTTTGCCTCGCTGAGCAGATCTTAAACTAATTGTCAGTTCTGGGAAGAACTAATGTCTGGGGTGTCTCAGCTGAATAAAGACCAACAAAACCCTCATTAGTCAGGGGCAAAGTTTTCCAGCTAATGGACCGTTAGCATCTGTAGTGTCTGACACAGTTGCTCTCTCTGGTCAGTATTGTAGACCATCAGCTTCATCACTGACTGGATTGTATTCAGATGCACCGAAACTAACGACGGGAGAATAAAGCTGCCTAAAAGATTAACAGATATTTATCTGATCTGGAAACATTAGAGCAGACCTGATCGTGATTAACTTGTGATCCACTTGTGTGGGTATTTTGCAGATTCATCAGTAATCAATATCTTACCTGCAGTAGAAATCACTCGTCAGAAAGTCACTTTGCTTACATTTGACCTGCTATATACAGAAAATGTCACACAACTACAACGTTCAGGGTTTAATTTCACCGTGGACCTCGGTTGTATTTTATACTCACATCTTTCTGTTGACCTAACGGACAGCTCCTCTGTGAGAACAGCATTTCTTTGAGCTGTGACTGTTGGAGACGTACCGGCAGCTCAAAATTGTGAGAACATTTGTGAATTTTCCGTCGCAGTCTCCGAATTTTGAACGTTTGCAACCAAGCTATGTGCGAACGATGCAGCCATATATTGAGCGGCCGATTTTTGAAAGTCTCAGCCTATTTTTGTGTGCACGGCTTGCACCCACCTTGGCAGCTGCCGCCATGTTTTTGACTGTATCTACTGGAGTACACACCTGGAAATTTGGGGCTGTAGCCTCTGACGCTTTCTATCAAAGGAAACTTCACAGGCGTCAAAGAGCAAAATTGAGAAGGGTTTGAGACAAGTTTAAGACAACCCTGACGTGAAGAGGGTTCAAGACGGGTTTCAAATTTGACAGGATTGTTTAAGTTGCTTGAAACTCAAGCGACAAGATTGTGTGACAATGCGAGGAAAATGAAAACCGCCACAAACGTGAGACATTTTAGAAACTCCTTCCTGATTGCTGCTCACTTAAAGTGTTGCAACCTAATGAGATACTGGCTTAAAGGTGTGAAAATTGCAATCACTAGAGATCGGGTGGAAAAGACACAATCAATCAGTCTACAGTAGCTTGGCCTTTTGGACCGCTATCTGTGTCAAACAGAATCATCACCAGCAGAGCTACTGAAAACAATCTCAACTGTTAACAATATCATGTCCCAAAGGATGTCCTGTTTTGTTAGTTTCAGTGCTGGATTTGTTTCCGCTGTCATTTTATATTACATAACGGCATTTCTATTTGTAGTCACTTAAATGGACAATTTAGCCAGCATTCAGATTCTTTTGGGAACCAGAACATGTTAATAAAAGTACATGAACATACAAATGTCCTTCATGTTGTCATGGCGTTGTGTAAAACAAGGATAGAATAAATCCAAAAAGATAATTTTTTAGTTGTTGGGATGATACTTCTAGGCCTGTAACAATAACAAATTTTGCTTGGCGATTAATTATCTCAGAAATTATTGCGATAAACGATAATAATTTGAAATTTGACATTAGTGATTATTGTCAAATTTAAGAAGAAATGTTTAATTTGTTTTGCATGTAGTACCTTTTTTTCGACCACCGGATGACAGTATAAGACCGTATGAACTGAAGGATGGATAGTGAGGGAGCGAGCAGCGTGTCTCTTTAAGAAAAATGAGAGGGAGGCCCCTTGGCGTGACATGTGCTATCTCTCTTCGGTTCTCAAAACGCTCAGTGTGGTTTGAACTCTTTAGCATAACATCTTTCACACAAAGTTTTTAATTAAAAAAAATCAGTACACAAGTTCTCAACTTCTTTTTGCAGAGAAAAACAACTTTTTAGACAAAGGCACGGGTTTCAACCGTGAATTTTGGAGCTTCGACAAGACGGAGGTTTTTTTTTTTTTTTTTGCGAGGTTGGCTTAGCTTTTCAGCTTAGCTGCTTTTAAAGATCCAAAAACACAATTTTGGACGGTTAAAATGGATTTTAAAGAGAAAGGGATGAGTCAGTGAAGAGCACCGGAGTTGAGCCTTTTGTCATCCAGTGTCTTCAGTAGAACGAGAGAGACATGACGAAATGATAAAGCCGATAAATGAAAATGAGGTTGATAATTTTCATTTATCATGCGATTAATTGATTTATTGTTTATCGCGACGGGCCTAGATATTTCAAGGTCTATGTGAAGGACAACAGCAAGAAAAAAATCAGTGCATTTTTTATAATTTTTTAAAAATATTTAACAAAAAAGTGGATAATGTAATTATTTATTACATTAAAGGTTAGAAATGTTGCATAAATGTCAGCAAACAGAGCACACTGACCCTCCAAACTACATCACTTATTTAAGACATGGTTCTTGAAATGCCAGCAGGGCCTCAGGCTTACTGTCATGGACACAAACTATACATTATGGATACCTCCTCCTCTTCCTCACCGTTCCTTCTTCTGAGCTCTGCCACTAAGCCCCATCCTTAAAGAAGCAAGCACTTCCATTCAGAGGAAATCAGACCGAAAAAGATCTTTTGTTTCTCTTTGGAAACAACTTTACAGTAAATGAGAACGTACATGTGTCAGCTGAAATGTAAGGATGTTCTAAGTGTACTCTGAGAGGTTTTCTGGGATGTTCTAGATTAACAGAGTTCCCACGGTCAAGCCGAAACCACGGGCGTTATCCCTGCTACCCCACTCCGCTTCACTTCTAGATGAGAGCTGAAACAAATCACAACAAGCTGCTGTAATCTGACTGATCCATATTATACGCAGACCTTTCTGTCTGAATACCATTTGGCTTTTGATAGTCCCACTTGTTCAGATATTCCAGATTAGGCTTCTGTATACATTTTTTCTCCTGCCTTCTTACACATACATGACCCAATGAGTCAGGCAGCAAAGAAAAAAAAAAAAAGCTGAAGAGAGATCCATCAGCTAAACTTCTTCAAACAAATAAATCACATCCAGAGAGACATACGAGAAAAAGCCAACTCCACTTTCCAGCTCCACTGCACAGGAAGCTAAAAATATCAGGGACAACAAAGCTACAAAACCAGAGTCGAACCCAAGCTTTTGTACAAACAGACCAACTTCGACAAGGAGCCAGATTACGTGGTCTGAAAGCTGAGCCAGGCTTTAAAAAGAAACACTCGAGAGCGAAGAAGCGTCACCGTCACCGCACATTCCCCGACCAGCCTCAGCTTCGTGACTCACACGACTGCAAAAGCGTGGAAAATACGCAGGAAAGAGGCGGTGATGAAGAGGAGCGTGGCCTCACCCGAAATCATCCAGAGAAAACATTTCACCGGAGGAGACACCACCGTCCTGAAGCTCAGGATGAGAGGAGATAAAAAGATTATGGAGGAGAGGGGGAAGTGTCAGCCCGAGGTGACCGAGTCCTGCACATGTTGTCTAGTACACTCAGTCATCCCCCCCTCGCTTCACATCCTCTAAAAAAGCTTACACAGAAAGAGTAGGAGGGAAAGAGGAAGATGAAGAGTGTTGCAACAGAGTAAGAAAAAGGAACGCGGGAGTGGGAGCGCTGAGGAAACATGTGACCACTGCAGACCAGTCGCTTCGCTCTGCCGCCGCCTTTCAACCTCCAAGAAATCATTTCCACAGGATGGAAATTACACGGTAGCTCTTGAGAAACCAGGAGGGCTTTTCTGCTTTCTATATCAGGGAACCGTCTAAAAATAGCGTTTTGTGCCTGTACATAAAAGAAAACGAGGACAAAACTGAATATTTACAGCTTTTTACCAACTACTTAAAGTGAATGTGTTACAATTTGTTAACAGTTTCTCTGTTTTTTCGTGGCTTCATCGGGTAGGGGTCCATCTGTCTGGAGCAAACGTACACTAAGCTGCTTTTCCACAACAAACTGACGTGTGGGGAAATAAACAACGAGCAAATGAAAAGATTAGAAGGCTTTGGGAGCTTAGAAACGACAAGAAATGTCCAGCTTGGACCTGAAAAGGTACAAATATAAGAACAATGAGCACTGGTTAGACTTCTTAGCTTTGCTGAACGGTAAATACGCTCAAGAAACAAATCGAAAAGAACCGGTTTGTGTCGCTTTTTAACGTTCAGAAGTCTTTCCACTCAAAGATGAATAGTTTAAACTACTTGGTTCGTGTACTTTTGGATGTATAATTTGTAGAGATGCATGAAAATACCAGTATTGGTCCAATTCTATGTTCATGTGTGTGTACTTGTACTCATAAAAGTGTTTTGATACCACTTTACAGCAGTGTGACGTTCACCTGCCAGATAATCAGCAACGTAGTAGAAGCAATATCAGCCATGTGGAGGTTTTTTATTTTATTTTGTTGAGCTTCTGTCCTGATCCACTCCTCACCAACTGGTAACACACAATCAGGTTGTTTACGAACCAACAACACCAAAAAAGAAGCAATGTGGAGTATGGGGATGGGTGTTTTGACAGAACGCCTACAACTTAAGAGTGCCCTGAATGTATTTCTGCTTTCTGTAGTTTATTTTGAAAGGATTTTCAAGTGG